TTCTTTTTCTGTTCTATCCTTCTTATCTATTCGCTTCTTTTTATACCATCGTTTGTTCGAATGTCTATTACATTCCTGATGATGCCAACTGAAAGCTGGTGAAAGCTCGAATAAAGTATTTTCAAGACTGAAAGTCATGTTATTCATAGCAGTTCTATATTCGATTTACAAATTCCTTATCTTTGTTCTGTTTATTATTCATTAGATACGGAATATCATCACGTATATAGGTCAAAAGATAATAGTATGATCGATATTTATTTATCTTTTCTTCCTCTCTTCTACTTTTCAATTTATTTATAATTTATTTTTATTTATAGATTTAGAAGATGTCTGGAACACAATAAAGAACAATAATTTAGATAATTATCGAAATACAACAGACTTTCACGATTGGTTCATAACATATGAAGCAGAGAATTTTTAACAACATCTGATAGCTGGTGTACGAAACGCTGCTGGGTATGTCAATCAAGATGGTTCATCACGTCGTTCTTATAACAACGACAATGAAGCAATCAATTTCGCTTTAAAAAGTGATACCAACTGGGATTTAAAGCCATTATCGGCTTTAGTTGATATACTGGATAAATTAATAACGGCTCAAAAAACTAAGACAATACGAAGTATTCATGAAGGAGGTGAATTCGAACTAGTACCCCGTATACAAGGTACGAAATCCTGCATTTACCGTAGTCAGAAAATTTACTATGACGTCTTTAGATTTATACATGATACTCGTATATGGGCCAGTACATCCCATGGAGGAACGTCAACAAATAATAAAAAATTATTATTCTTATCAGCCATCAGTGCGACGACAAGTATCAGATTTTAATATCCCTACAACATCCGGTCGGAAACCCGGAAAGTGAGGTTCCACAACAACACGAAAACCCGAGAGAAATTCATCAATCACTCGAAAAACAAGAGGCAGTCAAAAAAAGCGATAATTAAACCAATAATTCATTAAACGTAGATTTCATTATTTTATTCAAGCTCTATTTCTTATTATTTAAAACTGCATGGTAGAAATATCTACTGATTTATTATGTATTCGAATAGTTGAGACAGAAAAAGGAACATACTTTAGTCATACTTAGTATTTGTACTATTTTACCTTTGAATATAGACTTTTTCATGATTCTGACGAGTACTACTAGATTCAGAAATCCTTGTAAAGTATTCTAGCATAGTTTATAAACTCTCATTCCCTTTAGTACACGCTCTATTTTTCTTAGATCTGAAACAGCCTATAATTGGGAAGGTCAATCGCAATTAAAAGCTGAACAAAGAACTTTTAAATAATTCCTAAATGGCACTTTTGTAGAGAAGTTCACGGGCTTTCTTATGATATATAATATGTCTAGATGTCTAGACTGTGAAGTCAAAAAAAAGCGTTTAGTTGTAGTTATATCATATCTGAAAGGGTGAATTTTTTCAAGAATCTTTAAAGATATTTTGTTCGGGTTGAAAATGGTGCCAGTAGGCTTAGAACAACGTGGAGTTGAATCTGGCACACCTTTTTGGGTGTTCTTACCCTTTCTTCTGAGTGTTCGTGGGTGTTCATTGAAAATGTATGCTAAAAAAGCGAAACTATAAAAACTTTTTTGGGTGTTGGTTAGGCGTTGCTATACCCAGCTCGACGAGCTCTATCGATTGGCTAACTCAGATTTTAATTTCGAGATGTTCGTGGATGTTCGCGTCTTTTAGCAATACCCATGGCATTGTGGTCTCGATCAACGACTTAAAACATATAAAGATACATCCTTGTATGGTCGAGAACTTGAACGAAACTCGGATACTCAACTGCAACATCGAGAGAACATGATTAACTATGCTGCAATTGACGTCGATGCCGTCTACCGTGTTTGCGAACGAATGAAACAGCCCAAAGAACAACCTTCTTCTTCATCTCCACGGAATCATCAACAACCATCTCTCTCTCTTCACCACCTCCTCACGGAAACCCGAAAGATGCGCACGACGAAAGTTGCGCACGGAAACTTGCGCACCACGAAACTTGCCATTATCGTTTATATATGCGATCGTTTATAGCATGCGATCGTATTTAAAAGATCATATATATGTCATCAATATATGTAATCAAAATTTCGATTACCCCTATAGAGCAATTTCAAATTCGAAGGGGTGTTTGATTGATATTTAGCATACTGATACCGGTAGTTTATTTAATTAATAAATAATTGTTGATAATTTAATTGATACTTTATCAAAATTTATACATTGAAACATGAACATTTTTTTGAATGGTACTTTGTGCAACATAAAACACCTTTAGATTATGAAAGTCACAAAATTGGGAAGCATGAAAAAACGACTTTAGATTTGTAATAACAATTTATATCTTCAAATGTAACCAAACTAATTAATTAATACAAGTTTTAAATAGAATGTTTTGCATAGCATAAGCTAATCACTTATTTAATCAATCATATTCAATAAATTAATTTGACAGAAAACTATTTTATCATGTCTTATAATTATGTTCTAGATCCTTAACTCGTTTTAGTGTCCTTAACTTTTTTTACATACAGACATTTTATCAAAAGTTCGATTCCTATATCCAAATTATGGTGAAGAAAGGAAAAGAATGATTCATATAGGTATTCGTAATGATTAAATTTTGATTTCTACTGCACCACATATCAGATCATCAATCGTCAAAAGCGCTAAGTTATAAACAGATAAATAATCATCTTATCGGATAAATTAATTAATCGTAATAATTAGGTGTCTTATCTTTTTTGATACTTTAATCCCATTAAAACAAGGTTGTTCTAAGAACAAAACAGTTACAAGTATATAAACATGAGTATTCGCTACTGAAATTACCGCTTATCAATTATATATATATTTAAACATGTCTACTCCTGTCGAATTCACCACTGCCACAAAAGGTGGTCCTTTAATCATATTAGACGGTTACTCATACATTCAAGATCGTCAAACCGACGAAAAACTTATTGGCGTTGCGAAGATCATAAAACTTTTAATTGCCATTATCGTATACACACATGTAATTCTACTCATAGTCAAACACACGTTACCATAATTAATCGAAATGGTATTCATACAACCAGTTGTAATAGTGATCCAATCAAAATATTACTAAGAAAATTTCATGAAAATGTCGTCGATCGTGCAAAAAAATACAGAAGAGTTAACAGACACTGTGTTATCACAATATATATCAAGATTACATGATCCAGCACGTGTACGTTTATCACCATTAGATCATGTAAAACGAACAATTCAACATCATCGAAAAATAAATGATTTACCACAGATACCAATAATGTCGATTTTCCATGTGTTCCTATACTTTTACAATCAACAAAGCGAAATGAAATTTTCTTGCGTGTTGATACAGGTCCAGGTAAGCAACAAACATTTCCACTGAGAAATGAATGATGAATATTTGCCAGAAGATTTGTTAAGTGGCTTACTTACAATATTTTTGTTTAAGTGCTGTTCGAATACTTATCTTTAGCAGCCCTGAGCAAATATCGATTTTAGAATTATCGGATGATTTTTTTATCAACGGGACTTTCGATGTATGTTAAAAAATTTCTAAAAATGAGGCCTACTCAACTACCTGAAGTTTTTGTGTTGCTCTAGGCTGTTCCAGAAATTTTTTATCTGTTATATGTAATTCATGCTGTACATCGTCAACATGTTAATCCGGCAGTATCAACATCTAGATAAACGATTATTCAATCTTGTTTCTAATCCCCATCAGAATATTACTGATCAAATCACCGCAATAGCATATAATATTATTCTATAATACAATATTTTCATTTCACTTATAAACACTAATAGAATTACATGTATATAAACGATAATGGCAATTAAAAGTCTTAGGATTTTGTTATAAATATAAATATAAAATAAGAATTTGTTATTGCGTGCGCAACCTACCCGAGCGCAAGTTTCTCGTGTGCATCTTTCCGTGTGTAAGTTTTGTGATGCGCAAATTTCCCTGCGCATCTTTCGTAGACCTCTCCTCACGCATCGTCTCAGTCGAATCTCATCAGCCAACCGTAGTTCAAACAAAAGGACTCAAACACTCTCAAATGTCCCTCGAACAACGAAAAATAAGGAACCAGAAGCACAATAAAGATCGTAGAGCGAACCGCTTTACAATTCGCGAGACAGTTCTCCTCGATCATCGTTATTCAATTCAACAAATCAAGGAACACCTCAACTGGAATTTAATTGACTTTCGACATGTTTTAATCAACTTCAGAAAACGATTAATCATCGGATTCATAGATGAACAACAACAACGACGATCTGAACAATCAATGAGAGATGATTACTTTGAAACATTACGACCTTGATTTGGCTTCGTATTGTTGAATCAACACTGTTCAGAATACCCGAAGGTTATCAGTAATGACTGAAACACCAGAAGATGTTCTTTCTCATTTTTCTATATATACACACTTTATTCTATATACACTGTCTTTTCTTCTTTTCGTCGATATAGTCAGTGCACAGTTAGACCACGTGCGTATTTCTTGTTTGTTGTTTTCATTTTATACTTTATTCATTTTTTTCACATTACAAAATATATTGCTGCATCAATAATCATTCCATCACTATCTGGTGCATATTCCATCGCCCTTGGATAGTGATTATCTTTGTTAGGTAGCCTATCTCTCCCTCTCATCCACTAAGACGGGTCCAGAGATCTCTCAGTGCTATACCACCAGGTCTCTGTTTACTTTTATCAGCCTTTCGAGGAGTAGGGCACCCACAATTCTGTCATGCCGATTTTTTGCAAAAATAAGTTTGAGACTTTAAGCATCTGTTGTAGCAGTTACAGTTTATCACAACAGAAATTATTTTCAAAAAGATACGGGACAAACGGAGCAGGACAAAAAAGTCCGTAAAATTTTTTGCATTCGACAGACGGGTTCGGGGAACATTACTTGCTTACGCGCTCGAGCTTAAGGGACGGAACAAAGATTTTTGTGTTCGGGCTTGGGGCTACAGAAAAGTTTCAATGCAGAGACTCTAGCGTACAACTTTAATAAAGCGGTTATTAGGTTAGCATGGATAAATCAATGGAGGTGTATGCAGTTCGCTCTGAGTGGCCAGACTTTTCACGGCTGCGGCACCATCGATGTTGGCTTGTGCTGTGGTGACCGCCAAAGGAGCGAGTACGGCGCCCATCATATTGTTCTGAAGAGTGAGCGTCGTACAATTGTAGAAATTCCACAGTGTACGACTACGACCGTACAACGAGGTGAGCCACGAACCGACCATATTGCCTTGGGCGAACGAAATGGTGGAACCGAACAGATTGATGACAATGAGTGAAGCATTGACGATGTTGGTAATTTGGATTTGTTGAACGAGATTGTTGTTTAAGACACTGTTCCCGTCGGCAAATGTGAAGTAGGCAATTCCGTTGCTATCCATGGTATTGACGTTTAGGTTGAGAGGTCCGGGTTGTGAGCTGGGAATGGTTCCATTGTTATTCGGCGTGGTCTGTCCTAACTGCAAGGAGAAGGCTTGCAGGGCCGACGTGACCGTTTGGCACTTGGATACGAGAGTAGAATCGATGTAGACACGAGCACCGCCATTGCCACCGTTCATTTGAAATTGACGGTTAGAGTTAATGATGTACTGAGTAACGGCCTGTTGAACGATGGTGTTATTTGTATTCACCGTACAACTGCCTGCATCTACGTTCACATTGTTTCCCGATGCAATCGCACCTGCAATCTCCAATGTCGATATTGATTGATTCCACGTATTTTGATCCACATGGATAGCAAAGTTTGCCGATGATGTACCCGAGAATGTACCACAAACTAAGGTCAGGTACTCAACATCTGAGTTCGTGTTCAAACTTTGTAGCGTGATTAGATTGTAGTAGTTCATGTAGGTAGAGCCGGCCGGTGGTGAACAGATGTGAGCAGCAGTGGTGGTTGGTACAATCGTGCAGTTCGGGAAAATGAGCGGTGGTGTATGCAGTTCGCTCTGAGTGGCCAGACTTTTCACGGCTGTAGCACCATCGATGTTGGCTTGCGCCGTGGTGGTCGCCAAAGGAGCGAGCACAGCGCCCATCATATTATTCTGAAGAGTGAGCGTCGTACAATTGTAGAAATTCCACAATGTGCGACTACGGCCGTTTATCGAGGTTAGCCATGAACCAACCATGTTACCTTGGGCGAACGAAATGGTGGAACCGAACAGGTTGACAACGATCAGCGGTGCGCTGATCAGATTGTTAATTTGAATCTGTTGCACGAGATTGTTATTGAGAACACTGTTACCATCGGCAAACGCGAAGTAGGCAACTCCGTTGCTATCCGAAGCATTGACATTGAGATTCAATGGACCGGGCTGCGACGTAGGAATGGTCGCAAAATTGTTTGCCGGTTGTTGTGCCAATTGCAAGGAAAATGATTGAAAATTCGTTGTCATTTGCTGACATTTCGATGTTAACGTTGAATCGATGTACACGCTCGCTCCACTATTTCCTCCATTCATTTGAAACTGTCGATTGCCGTTTACTACATACTGTGTCACGGCCTGTTGAACGATAGTTGTGCCACTATTCACCGTAGTACTGCCTGCATCGACATTCACATTGCTTCCTGATGCAATTGTGCCGGCAATCTCCAGTGTCGCTACAGATTGATTCCACGTACTTTGACTGACGTGTATGGCAAAGTTAGCGGACGAGGTACCGGTGAATGAACCGCAGACCAAAGTGAGATATTCAACATCCGAGTTCGTATTGAGATCCTGAAGAGTTATCAGATTGTAGTAGTTCATGTAGTTGGAGGCCGGTGAGGAAATGCAGGACGAAGAGGACGATGAACTAACTGTGGTGGAGTTTATGCTGCTTGAATCTAAAACAGTGAGTAGACTTTTAAGTAAGTGATATAAGCTTAGGAGTGAAAGCTGTCAGAATTTGCTGGTTTTTACATATGTTTAGAGCTCGATGAACTTAGCAAACCCTGAAATATGAGGCCATGATTCAACATATTTTCTGGTCTTTGACTGGTCACAATGTCGAAATGATATTATCGATCAAAATCAAAAAGTCGTTAAAAAAGTGAATGTGTAATATAAATACAGAATGAATTCTACATATAGAACACAGAAAAAAGTCAATTTTTGTTGAATGCACATTTGAAGCATGTTGCAGATGAAAAAGTACTAAATCAGAGCTAGTTTCATGCGCACGCCGGTTCACTCGAAATGTGTTATTTCAGAGTGATCTAGGCTCAGAGACAAGCGTTTGCTGGGAATAGAAACTTTGGCCCACTGCTAGAGACGCCGGTCGAGATAAATGTTTTTGTTTTTTTTTGCTATAAATGGCCGAGATTCAAAAACACTGAAAGAAAATATGACATGATTCTCAATCAAATGCGAGTAAATTTTTCTCGCTTGAACCTTAGTTCATTAGTTAGTCTCTTTTTCTTTTAATCCTATTGTTGTTCTTTTAACTTCCCTTTTTTGTGTAGTCTAAGGAGGCAATAGTTTTAGCTATTAACAACCTGCGTAATAACATAACTTGTGGTCCAGACGACATCCCAGTGGATGTGCTAAAAAAGAACGTTGCAATTTGTGCACACGAATTGCAGCATATTTTTCAGTTATCAGTTGAAACTGAAGATTTTCCATCAAAGTGGAAGTTAGCTTTCGTTAATCCCACTCACAAAAAAGCTCAAAATCTGTTCTAACTATAGACCAATTTCTCTCTTGTTCATAGTGAGTAAACTATTGAAAAGATTTATTTACGATCAATTGTTTACTCATTTGAGCGTAAATAAATACTTTTCCAATAATATCGGCAATTGAGGCTTTATATTGTTACTTTTATATTTGTTACATAATCTGACAAATAATCTTAATAAACAACCACCGGTAGACACCGTCTTAATGACCGCCCCCATTCATTAATGACCCTCAGGTGGTACATAATGTCTCAAATGCCTTGCGTTTTCTGGGAACTTGGCATGGAGTATGTTTTCGAACATGTTGAATGTCGAGCACGCACTGGTTGCTTTCTGTTCAAAACTTAAGGAACTTCAGAAGACGAGTTTGTCAGAAAACGAGGTGTTCCCGCTTGGACACCGTTGAATTAATAATGCGGTAAAACACTCAGATTGCAACCAAATGACTTCAAACTTTCCGAATACCTTTACTACCATGTACCAGTAATAATCCAACGAAAACAGGAAGAATTTCGCGTCAAAGTGAGTGTCCAGATTTCCAGAAACCAACTGAAAAACTTTTCCAAAACAGTTCAAGAACACTGCAATTTCGGCTACGTAGGGTTGTTTTTTAATGAAAAGTATGCATATTCTGAAAGTTTGAGACAGTTTGACTGATATTTTTTGTAGGGTTTATCGCAGTTTTAATTAAACCGGTTTCAAGCGCCAAAACCTCATTTTCTCCAAAAAGTCACCTTCTGGAACCCTTAATTTTGGGAACAAAACAAACACATACATGAGATTCATTACGGCCAAATACCGCTCTTCCATGTCTTTCGGGAACTTGCATACTCCCAAAACGGTCAGTGCTAGTTGTATCAAGAAATCGCTCCCAGCTTCCAAATCATGTAAAATCAAGAGGTCGCCCAATTCCTATTTTGAAGCGCCAAACGCGTTCTCAGATCACCGTTTCTACTTGAGAAAATATGCTCTTGAGCGTCCACTTTCGAATACCAAAAATTGCGGATTTCTAACATGTACTCTTAAAAATTTATCCGAAAAAAATCCATGCTTTTTCTATTGGTCTTCGATTTTTACATACTTGTAGTTGTGGCTAGAGTAGTGTTGGTAGACACAACGATCGAATTACTGCTACTCTTAGCTGACTGTGTCACAGCGACAGGTATAGCTACGGTAGCTGCCACGACAATTGTTATTATCAGTGCACCAGCGATAGTTTGCGTGGTGGTCACACTAGAAAGAACGTATAATTAAAACCCTCGCATGGTATCCGTAACCAAACAGCACATACCCTGATGCCGCGGTACTAGTATCCGTGGCAGCGACTGACGGAACGGCAACCAATTGACTTACATCAACATTAATAATTGAAGTGGAGACATCAGACGCTGTCGAAGACATGACTGCTCTCAGCTTTATCCTACGCAAGAAAAAAGAAGAACATCGTAGTATACTTGTCTGACCGATCTATTCTAGAAGAGAAAGCTATTCTAGGAATGCGAAAGCGTTTTCATGGTTTCCCGAGCTTGAAAAACGCTTCAAACATTGCTTTCACGGTATGAAGGTCGAAAGAGTTTAAAACATTTTTTCTCCCTTGTAGTTCATGTTCTGAATGCCCTTTGACTGTTTTATTTTTTAAATTGAAAAAACACACATGAACCAAAAGTACAATGTTTTTCTTTTTTTGCACTTTGAAAAATGGTATTAATTGAAAGAGAGTAAAATGTTTTGAATTTTTTCGACAATGCGCATGCACATCAGTTATAACTTATAAAACAAATTGATTTTAAAATTTGAGAAGAAATATTTTTATTCAAGCAAGTAGTGGTAACAACATCAACAATGGGAGAATTGTGACTAAGGCAACAAAAAAAAATAGAGAAATGCTCATACCAGAAAAGCAGTGTTTTTCAAGAGCGGGAGTGTGACGGATAGAGATATCGACCAGGTAGTTTAGTCTTTAGAGCATAGACACGGAATGTCAAGGTCCTGGGTTCGAATCCTAGTCTGGTCACACACTTTTCCTTCACAGGGAGACCATGAAAGCACTTTGAAAATAGCTTTCTCTTCCAGAATAGATCGGTCAGGTAAGTATACTATGATGTTCTTCCTTTTTCTTGCGCAGGATAAAGCTCTGAGAGCAGTCATATCTTCGACAGCGCCTAGTGTTTTCGCTTCATTTGTTAATGTTGATGTACCGGGTAGTTGGAGTGAAGAAATTGAGCTGAAACAATTTATGGAAGAAATTATTTAAACTCATTTGAACTATAGTAATTTACGCTCATTTATTTTAAACAAGTTAAAACTTAATTTTTTTCGGCACCTATTCGAATCAATTTCAGAGCCGAAACAAATCTGAATTAATTTTTATTGTGAAATTGATGTGAATTAATTAATAAAGAGTATATCTCTTAGCCTAAAAATCTAGATAGATTTGCGAAAATCGAAAGCAGGGTCATATTCAAGAAGCATGAAACCATCGATAATATTTTCGAAAACAGATGACAGGCCACAGCTTGTTCCTCTTCAAATATCGCTTTTCCGTCATGAACATTGAGGAAACTACAGCAGAATACGGCGAAATTTTGAAGATTTGACCATAATTATCCCAAGGCAGTCTATACAGAATGTTTTTCTGTTTAAAGAATAAAATAAGAAATCCGATAAATTTTATATTTTCATCGAACATTCATCTGTTATATGGGCAAGTAAGCGAGTGCTCACATAAAACAACTTTGAGTTTCACCGAAGTTGGAAGCGATTGTTGACTTTAATAATTCATCGCTTTGCTGTATGTGTATAAGGATTTTTTCTTGTATGCTTTTTATATTAAATATCTGATTATTGTGAAAAGACGATAAACTAAGAGCTGCAGTAACAACACGTAAAGTAAATCTATCCGTTTGATTGAATTGCGGTGTGTTCGTACGACTAGCTAAAGATTCTCTTATAAGCAACAGATAAGGCCAGTAATCCCTTGCTAATAATTTGACTTTGATAAAATTAATAGAGTGACCAGTTTTAAATACATACCTCACTTAAGGCTGATTTAGGTTTAAAGTGATTATGTGCAGGACTTGAGATATGTTACGAATTATTTTAAATAGTAACTGTGTGTGCTATATGTGAACACGACTATGAATTCTTTTCATTTTATTTTTAGTTTGACCAGGTAAATTAGAAGTTAACTTTTTCTTTCTTTCTTTTGTTTTCTTTTATTTACGTTTTATGGTGTTATTATTACTGTTAATGTTAACCGTACACATGAAAGACACTATAATAAGATTTATCTTGATTGTGTTTTTCATTTGTTTTTGTTATACCTTTTTTAAATAAATGAAACTCAATGAAGCTTATCTACGTCTTTTTCATGTTCAGCTAAAATGTGTATTAGCTTGTTTTATAATTTTACGAATATAATTCACCTCATAATTGTCACATTCAATATTATAAATCACACCTGGCATCATTTGTATCAAATTTAATTTTATCGTTATTTGGAAAAATCGTTTTAGTGTATTAGACGGTTTAAAATCAATTTTAATTCAGAATTAGGATTATTCATCGCTACAATATTGTTTAGCTGTTCAACATACTCAAAGCGTACTTCTATAAAATACCCTTTTTTGTTGTTTTATATTGTCATAGTGACCTTTCTAGATGAATTATTTCTTGATTAATTTTTTCTACATAGGAGTGGAGTGGGGTAAATTGGCACGAAATTCTACCACCTTGCAGTATTTTAATCGTAATTCTCTTAATTTTTGAAATTTTTCTGCGAGTTTTTGCAGACATATGAGTTAGACTTTCCTCTATTGATC